CTCCTACATCCCCAACAGTTACCTATGTGGTTCTGAACAGAGCAACCATTCATTGAGTCACTAAGATGTAATAACTACTCACCGTGTGTTAGCGTCCGAAAACCACCGAGTATTCAGTAAGGAGCAAAATAGACGTGGCACCTACCCGGTTCCCACCATTAGCAAGCCAGTGCCTGCATCTAGAAAGGAGAAAGACTGCTATACAGGGATAATAGACACAGCTCTCCTCCCCGCTGATCTGCGATACACACTCTTAGCAAACAGAACACCCATTTTTTTCCTTCTGTAGGGGAATTGAAAGGGTAAAATGTTCCTCCAGTTCTCTTGTGCAGAGAGAAAAGTTGAATGGAAATTCTGCTTCTTCCTAAATGTGAGGAAAAAGGAAGAGTTTCTCCAAATATCAACAGGACCCCAGCAGTGCTGGGTGTCCCCTTGGGATTGGTTATAATTAATTCATAGTAACACAGCCTGCCTGAGTTGAGTGACTTTCTACAGAAATATTCAGCTGCATTCTGGACTGAACCAGAGATAGTGTTTTCCCAAATGAATATGACGGAGGGAGAGGGACTTAGGCACTGAGCTATTTCCGGAGAACAATTGCAATGATCTCTTGCAGAGCCTAAGATGAAGAAGTGTATACAGACATGTGGACCTGACCCACAAGCTCTGCAATATTATTTCCTCCATAACAAACATGAGACTTGATCGAAATCTATTTATTTATTCTTTCCCTCCCTTTCTTCTGTACCCTTCTCCCAGTTATTTTCTTTTATTCAGTGAGATTTTCAAGGCCCAGAAGAAAATAAACACAAGGTAACATGTAACAAGACACTGTCACTTATAAAGAATCATTATTCATCATGAACTTTTAAGTTCTTTACATGGAAAACTCCCTACCTAGTTCCTTTGGAATCTGCCCCCTACCTCCTCATAATGCCTTCAGGAACTTCTAGAGACCTAAAGGGAGAAGGTCCAGAGAGAAACAGGTTAGTTCCTCATTACCTCTGCAAGACCTGCGTCCCGAGTCAAGTTTTGCATCGGAAGACCTGCCTCTTCTTCCAAATGATCGATAGCAGGAATGCCCCGTTGTCTTAGGGGACAACTATATCTGACTTTCGAGCATAACAGGTCAGAACTCTAAACGTACTCTCCAGACCCAATATAGAAAATGGAGATCAAGTTATTACATTAAAAATGATAGATGTCTCATTGAGACCTTTTATTCCAACTAATTATTGATGAGTTGTTTTTTAGAGTCTATTACATATATTTTGTTATAGTTTTATGCTATGAAACTGTACCAACTGGCTTCCAAATGAGTTTTCAAAATTAAATACAAGCTGGGTACATTATGCTCACCTATAATTCCAGCTACTCGGGAAGCTAAGGCAGGAGGATAAAAAGTTAAGACCAGCCTGGGCAGTGTAGTGAGACCCTGGCTCAACTTAAAAAAATAAAAAGGGCTGAGAATGTGTGAAAGCCTAAGATTCAATCCCTAGTACAAATGGAAAACAAAGTACTAGAAAATATGTTATTTCCTACAGTGTAAGTGTGCCCCTGCATAAATACAAGCATTTCTGTATGAGTTTTCAATCGCAAAAAAAGAAATGTGTTTTTGAAAATTATACTAATGGTAAGTTAAATGGGGTGAAGGGAAAGACTGAAGACTTGATGCAGAATAAATTGGTGCTTTCAGTCTAATAGGGTGGCCTTAGTTAAGTTTCTAGGACAGTGCCCATCTTCCTAAATGTGTTTGTGTGAAGAGGGGTGGTAAAAGGATAACACATTAACTATGCCTCAAAACTTCTAAAAGGTAATGAACTGCATTATTCTTAGCCTGCCAAAGATGGTGATAGATTTTTTTTTTTATCAATCTCTGTACAGTACTGTAGTCCTCAAAACCTTTTTAGAAATAATCACTTGGGAATCTATTAGGAATTCTGAGGAGAATCCAGGAGGCAGAAAGAATAGAAAGAAAAGGTTAAATATTTCTTTCACACTCCAACAACAGAGATGTTTGTGGGGGTACAATGATGGTTTATGAAAGCTGGAGAGGAAGAAATGCCAGGCAACCCACTGGCTCTTCACAAAGGCTGTGCTGCCCCAGGGAAGCAATCAGATCAGTTTGAGAAAGGACCATGACAACTTGGAGACTGACAGGTTCCTGGCTCACATGACAGTTAGCACTTTTCCCTCTGACCAATTAATCCCACATAATAAACATTTAATTAGATCTGTCATTTACCAAGCATTAGATACACCTTTTTTTCTTTTTTTTTTTTTTTTTGTGCCAAGAATCTAGCTCAGGACCTTGTGCTTGCCAGGCAGGTGCTTGTGCCGCTGAGCTACATGCCTGGCCCTGATTATTAGATATAGTACGTAGGTTAAAAAAAAAAAAGTGTTTGACCCTTAAGGAGTATGAAATTGAGTAGAGGACATATGAGCAAATCCAATCAAGACATTATAAAAGTTGATCTAATTGTAAGGCCAATATGCCAAAGTTCAAAAGAATTAGAAGACATGCCTAAGAAAGATCAGTGGTAGGGAGGACTTTGATAACATGATTCTTTTTTGACAAGGTATCACTATGTAGCCCAAGCTGGCCTCAAACTCATGATCCTTCTGCCCCAGTCTCCCCCATGCTCAGATTACAAGCTGAGTTGCTATGATTCTTGAAATAGCTATTAAAGGAGCAGTAGGAGTTTGCTAGATAAAAAAGGGGCTGAAGATATTCCAGGTAGAGAAAACAACACAAGTAAGTGCAAGAAACATAAAACTGGGCTGGCATAAGCTTGGTGGTAGAGCACGTGGTGAGCATGCACAAGGTTCTAGGTTCAATCCCCAGCACCATGGGAGGAAGGGGAAGGAAAGGAGGGGAGAAGAGGGAGAGGGGAAGGATGAACCTTCATCTTGCCTCCTAAGGTTTCCAGAGATGTCAAGGGAACTGAAAAGAATGGTGACATGTTCAGGAACAGCGACAGGGGAAAGCCATTAACCACCTGCCTGCAAGAGGCAAGGAAGGAGAAGGGTATCGTCAAAGTCTGGTGACAAGGCCGAAGCAGCGGGATCTGAAGTTCACATCTAGCCTGGGCTACATAGCCAGGTGCTGTCTCAAGAAAATAAATAAATAAATAAATTAAAAAGCCCGGTAAGCCTGGTGACAACCTAGTTATGGAGATGTACACCCAGCAACCTTGACACAGAGGAATATAACTGCAGCCCAATAGAAACGGTCACAGAGACAGAGACAAAAGAAGGGACAGATACTGTTATGACTTAAGTGTAAATGTCCCCTCCAAGCCTCCTGCAGTCACAGGTGGGGCTTTTTGGAGGTGGCCAGATCTAGGGTGTGTGCTGCTGGGATCAAGGATGTGATGCTGGGATTGATTCATGGTGCAATGCTAGGATTAAGGCTGCCCCACCCTCGGGATGGTAGCCTGAGTAAGGTATAAGGGACAAAAGGGGGTCACTGCTGGTCACTTGTAGCTGGCCACCTTTCTACCTCCTGCCTGCCATGAACTGCTGCTCCTCTGCGATGCCCCTCTGCCATGCCACCCTGCCTTGGAGCCAGCCGACTGTGAAGCGAAACCTCTACAAACTGTGAACCAAATAAACCTCTCCTGCTTTAACCGGGAGCATTGGGTATTTTGTCTCAGCAACAAGAAAAGTGACTAAGAAGATGCCCTGACTTTTCTTTCCCCCAGTTTCCAGCCACTAACCCCCCTTGGCTGATCTCCACTGCAAAGCCGAGGGCAAGGGAATTTGGGGAAACTTCCTTGTACAGACCAGCTTCCTGAGAGCTGGAAGACAGTAGAGGCTAGATCCAGGGCCGCGGAGAATCATCCATTAGCACATCTCACCTTCATTATCCAGGTTCAAACAACTTTCTGGTTCTTGAATTGGTTTAGCATAAGAATATACCTGTAACTAACACTGGAGCAAGTCTATCTCAGTTGGTACAAATTTCCAAAGAACAAAGGAGTTAAACAATGGAAATTTATTTGTCATCGTTTGGAGGCTGGGAGTGGGGTGAGACTGGAGAGCCCGCATTTTCAGGTTCTGATAAGGGCCTCTTTTGTGTTTCGGACATGCATCTTCTCGTAACCTTACTGGGTACAAAGAGTGATGGAGAGCCCTCTAGTGTCTCTTTCATAAGGGCACTGATCACAAGGGTCAAGTCCTCACCTCACAACCTGGACTACATCACAAGGGCCTCACCTCCTCACACACCATCACATTAGGGGTCAGGATTTCAATGTAACAGTTGAATATGCATTCAATCCGTGATACTGCTCTGTGTTTCCTCAACTGTTAGAGGAGGAGTCTGTATTACATGACAAGAAGAGATTTGTGAGATCTGACTCGCTGTGCAGCCCCTGCCCTTCTTTAATCTTTCTTTATGCCTCCTTTTAACTGCAAGGGTGTCAAATTATTCAATGAAACATTTAAAAACAAAAACAAGTACTCATAAGAGTGCAAGGTGACATACCATGTAAGTGCTTTTGTAACTATCTAAGCATTACTACTTTGTTCGTTTGCTTGTTTATTTTATTTATTTATTTATTTATTTATTTTTGGTTTTTCTCCGGTACCGGGAACCGAACTCACCACCTTGCGCTTGCCAGGCAGGTGCTTTTGCCGCTGAGCTAAATCCCCAGCCCCTGCTTGTTTATTTTAGACAGGGTCTCACTATGTAGTTCAGGCTGGCCTTGAACTGACTGTGAAGGCTAGGCTGGCCTAGCACTCATGGCGATCACTCCTGCCTCAGCCTCCGAGAGTGCCTGGATTACAGGCGCGCACCACCACCCCTGGCCTAACCATTACTACTGTAATGCTCTGTTAGTGTATGAAACAGGGTTGCGTATTAGTCTCATGGAATAGTGTTCACATACACTTCATATTTGATGTAAGTATTTTCATATTTGATTATGGGGTTACACGGTATGAAGGAGGGGGAAATGACATGTCCTTATACAGCTTTGTTTCTCTTTATTTTTCAGATCAATAACTCGATCATACTACCGCAACTCAGTTGGTGGATTTTTAGTATTTGACATTACTAACCGACGATCTTTCGAACATGTGAAAGACTGGCTAGAAGAAGCAAAAATGCACGTACAGCCATTTCAGATTGTATTTCTGCTAGTGGGACATAAATGCGATTTAGCTTCACAGCGTCAGGTGACAAGGGAAGAAGCTGAAAAACTGTCTGCAGACTGTGGAATGAAGTACATCGAGACCTCAGCCAAAGATGCCACAAACGTGGAGGAATCCTTCACCATCTTGACACGAGACATTTATGAACTTATTAAAAAGGGGGAGATTTGTATTCAGGATGGCTGGGAAGGGGTTAAAAGTGGTTTTGTTCCAAATACGGTGCATTCTTCTGAGGAAGCAGTAAAGCCCAGGAAGGAGTGCTTCTGCTGACTTCAAAAAGGCCAAAGAACGAACCAGAACAGATGGGTGTCCTTTCAGGGTAATACCAACATTAACAGCAGAGTGTGCGATGACAGCATAAGGAAAAGCTCTAAACCCACACTAACACTGTTTTGTAAGCTTTCTGATTCAGAGCACTGTGCTTCCTTGTGACACTACCACATTAGGTATTTTGCTCAGTTATCAGGCGTAGCTGACAACTTTATTGAAACGAGTATCTATGTAATTACCTCCATTCTCATTCTGTTAGAATATAGCTGACCTCAGTGTTCAGACATATTCAGAACGCATTTTTCTTGGATTTTTTGTAAACATATAGTCTGGTTAAAGATTTCTATCAGGAGTTACATTGTTTTGAGTTACTATTGAATAGTAAAGTATACTTAAAAGTACATTGTTCATATGCAAAGGAAACAATCTCAGAAATATATATATTTTTTCTTGTCTTTTTGAGACAGGGTCTCGCTATGTAGTTCAGGCTGGCCTGGAGCTCACTTTGTAGCCCAGGCTGGTCTTGAAATTGCAAGGATCCTCCTGCCTCAGCCTCCCGAGTGCTGGGATTACAGGCATGAGCCACCACGCCTGGCTCAATCTCAGAAATATTGACGAGGACTAAAATAGCAAGTGCTTGTTTAAGGTACCAGGTATTTTCCCATTTTCGGAAGTATTTCTCTTCCCTTACTCTTGCTTGAACCTAAGAAAATAACTTTTACACTTATTTTTATTTCCTGACTTAGCGCTCCTGCAAATCTTGTTTTATAAGATATCGAAGGGTTGAAACAAAATATTTTAAGTGAATATTTGTGAAAACAAAAACAAGGGACCACTCAGAAGCAAATGTTTTGATGCTGTAGTATACTGTCCAACTTTAAGCCAAAATATTATTTATATACTGACTTTTTTAAAAATGCAATTTACTTTAGTATATGTGCTGCTGAAGTGAGCACTAAAAATGCAGTTTAAACTACCTTCACCATTATCAGTATAGCCATAGAATGTTTTTAGTAACAGCATCCCTGTGCAAGTAAATTTTCAATTTTTCCCATTTCCAGTGTAAGAAGAGTATACAAAAGCTGCTTGTGCATAATGAAAATGAGTTACTAAGCCGGGCATGGTGGTGCACGCCTATAATCCCAGCACTCGGGAGGCTGAGGCAGGAGGATCGTTGCAAGTTCAAGACCAGCCTGGGCTACAAAGTGAGCTCAAGGCCAGCCTGAACTGCATAGTGAGACCCTGTCTCAAAAAAACAAACAAAAAAAAAAAAAAAAAACAAGAAAATGAGTTACTAGTTGCTCGATATATTTAGCGTTCAAGCTGCATTTTACAATCTTATCAGTACCAGAGAAGACAGAATAAGCTGTTAAGGGAATAAAATGGCTTTCAAGTTTCCTAATTTTAACTTCTTAATTTCCTAACTTTGGATTTATTAATTAAACTTCTCTCTTGGAAGGGACCTTTTGATCACACTGTCAAGTATTTGATAACATCCATGTCTGTTCTGTTCTTTAAATTGTCCCCAATGACCAAAGGGCACCAAATGAAGGTATCTTTTTGGAATGATACTGCATTTGCTGTTAAAGTATAGTTGCTTCATTTGTTTAAAAAGCAATATGGTATAGCACAAAGAATATTAACAAGGAATCAGAAAACCTAGTTCTAAACTCGCTGTGAAGTAATAGTAATAGTAAAGTATACTTAAAAGTATAAAATTTGAACCAAAATTCGACCATGAGGATGTCAGCTGTTCGCTTTAAGCACCATTTTTCTCCCCTGTAAGATGAGTCTGGTAACCACATTTACTGAGCTTCACGAAGTTATTTTGAGAATCAGGTGAATCATGTGGGAAAAAACGCTTCAAAAACAGAGAAAGTGTACCAGTATGAGATTGGTATCAGCTTTTCATGGGCCCCCCGTTACATGCATAGTGGGTGAGAACTTTGTTTCTGCGTGTCTTGTTTTTCTTTTGTGTGCACAGGGGCAGAGGGTGCATGTTTTCATGGACCTGGAAGAATTCTTGGTTGGTGTTTATCCTCTGCCTGAAGCGCTGCTTCTCCCAAGCAGAAACGATAAAAAGGGAAATCCCTGGAGAATTAATTCAATCAAAAGTCATGCTTAAATGTGTTTTTTGTGCATTTTTAAATAGATATTTAATTGTATTATCAAATACATTTTTATTTTCTAGGTTCATGCATTTCTAATAGTGCTTATGAAGAGAAGAATATAAATGACAATGGACTATAAAAGTTCTGAATAGTTATAGTGTCAACTTTTTAAATATCCTTAGGTTAACTTCACATGATTGAATTCAAATATAATTGGTCAGATGAAAAAATACAAATACCTGTCCCCCAAAATGTGAAGTCTATTTTTGCTGCTATACTTTAAAATCTTATATTACAATCTTCCCTCAGTCAAAAAGGGCATAAGCTCAAATACTGAATACCTAACAATCATTTAAAATACAGTCACCTATGCCTGCTGCTAAAATTAAGCAGCTAAGGGGCTGGGGATTTAGCTCAGCGGCAAAGCACCTGCCTGACAAGCGCAAGGTCGTGAGTTTGGTTCCCGGTACCAGAGAAAAACCAAAAAATAAAATAAAATAAAATTAAGCAGCTAAGATATAAAATGCAATTTAACTTTCAGAGGACAACTTTCATAATACACTGGATGAGACTAGTGTTTGGACCAAAGGTTATGATGTATTCCAAGATGTACAATAGCATTAAGGAACTAGCATAAACAAATTGGAAGACAAATGCCCCCAAAGTTGGCATTTGTATAAACATAAGCCTAGAATTCTGGTCTTCTAAAATCTGGGTTACCATGCTTTAGTGTGTGTATGCACACGTGTGTACATGTGGATACACTGGAGAGATGTGAAAGAAGGGAAATGTGATCTAACTGAATCAACAAAATAGTAAAATTGGGCTAAATCATTTTCATGTTACAGAGGAGCTGTTTGTGGGAAAATAGTCGTACAGTGAACGATGACTACAAAGATCTGGGTTCTTAAACAAGATTGCCAAACATCTGTATCCCCTTAGCCAGATATCTTTATCGATATATGTAGCACCTGATTTATTTTTTTACACATCATTGAGAATATGGTAAATAGTAAAAAGTAGCAAAAATATCTGCTCCAGGAAAAACATTTTGACCAAGTTTCTTAGCAATCAGATACACTAGATGTTACATTAAAATCTCTGGGTTTAATTTTTTTTTAATTTAGAGGCCACAGATATAGATCAATGGTAGAATGTTTCCACCATCCCCTGCATATGACCTGTAGAACCACTCACCAAAAATATATGTACATATTTAACTTTAATTTAACCATACTTGGGCCCTGTGTGGTGGCACATGCCTGTAACTGCAGCACTCGGGAGGCTGAGGCAGGAGGATCATTGTGAGTTCGAGGCCAGCCTGGGCTAGAAAGTTCAAGGCCAGCCTGAACTGCATAACGAGACCCTGTCTCAAAAAAAAAGACCAAAAAAAAAAAAAATTAATCGTACTTAAATGGAAAATGTAAAACTAGTAAATGGTATAACAAATTACCAAATATTTTAAGTTTGTGTAATCTTTAAAAAGAAGTGAAAAACTGTCCTATTGTTTGGGAAACTTGGCCCTGAGAGATATTTCTCATCTTAAGCTGCATTCACACTTCGAGTACATATAGTGATGAGACAGTTTATCAAATAGCCTCAGCCACAATGCTTAATCAGAATACTTTTTAGATGTAGCCTTTGTATGCATAATAGTAGCAAACAAGATTTCTTGAGCCTGAAAATTTAAGGGTTTACTCTAGATTTCCAAAAGCCTGAAACACTCCATGACTTGTGTGTGTGTGTGTGTGAACCAAAACAATCTTTTATATTATTGTTCAGATAACTTTACCAGAACAAAGTCTTTTTATCAAACTTTACATCATTAAGAAATTTAGTCTATGGATTAATAAAAATCATTTTAAGAGTATTTTTGTCAGTTTTTATACTGCTCTCGGTTCAATTAAAAGCCAAATTTCCATTAACTTCAGAGTGCACTGTGTTTGAATAATACCTTAGGTCTTACATAGTAAGGACTCAGAGGACTAAAGATCCATTTCATAAGCTTACTCACTTGATTCCCTGGAGCTGCCTGGAAGGATTTAGCTTGAAAATGCAAAGAAGGGCCAGGGTTATAGCTCCGTGGCTTAAGTGCCTGGCAAGCGCAAGGTCCTGAGTTCAATTCCAGGTACCAAAAAAAAAAAAAAAAAAAAAAAAAAAGGGGCTGGGGATTTAGCTCAGCGGCAAAAGCGCCTGCCTGGCAAGCGCAAGGTCGTGAGTTCGGTTCTCGGTACCAGAGAAAAACCAAACAAACGAAAATGCAAAGACATCATCTCTAGGAGAGAAAATGAAAGACTACAAAGTATTTAGAGTTAGACCCTTTGTATTTTAAAAGAGTACATTCCCAGCTTGAAGCTAACTCTTGCAAATTCCACAGCTGATAATTAGCCATCTCTGCTTGAGAATCTTTCTAAATCTCAATGTTTTTCCAAGCTTTCCTGGGCAACTGATTTCCACCTGGTCATGAAATAATAAACAACAGATTCTTCTCCTAAATCTGAGCGAATTGCTGCATGATCTGATATTCCTATAACATTAATAACCGATGCAAGTAAATACATGATGAGGAGCTGTGACAATCTCTATCAATCATTACACAATCTAGTTCACCTGCTGTACATAATCATGGTAGAAAATAAATGACAAAGAAAATTTTAAAGTTATTAAAAATTAGTGTACCTTGTCATCTCTCTGGATAATTTTCGTCTTTTCTAAAATAGTGCCTAACACACTGTCTTTGTGTGACATTCAGTACCTATGAATGGATGGTTATTGTTTTGGGTTAGTCCTATTAAATGTGAGTTTCACCTACTTGACTTTAATTTATAATCCCGTGGCAGAATAAACATGTTTTGCTATCATCATTTCTTGGCATTTTTATTTTTCAGAATGACAGCCAGTGGGAATAAGACAGGATATAAACTTTTCCAAGGGTGTTATTAATGCTATTTGATTTTAAATAATGAATAAAAGATGAGAATAAGATTGTCACAGGATTGTTCCGTTATTTGTCTTTCACTCTTTAGGGGTGCTAAAACAGAAGCCACTATTTAGCTGTAATTGCACCTGTGTGTGTATTCACAAATAAATTACAGATTCAGAGATCTGCAATTCCATATACCATTATACCATGGTGATGTGGGGGACAAAACTGCATAATCAAACTTTTTTTTCTGAGACAAGGACTTGCTTTGTAGTGCAGGTGAACTCGTTATGTAGCCCAGGTTGGCTTCAAATTCCTGGCAATTCTTTGTGCTTCAGCTTCTGGAGTGCTGGGTTTACAATCAAACTATTTACATAGCAAAATGTGTAAGCAAAAG